CCTTCGTCTTCACCTTCGAAGCTTCGAAGCCCTCCCCCCTTCGTCCTCGCCTTCGAAGCCTTCGAAGCCGCCTTCGTCCTCACCTTCGAAGCCTTCGAAGCCCCTTCGTCCTCACCTTTCGAAGCCTTCGAAGCCTTCGTCCTCACCCTTCAAAGCCTTCGAAGCCTTCGTCCTCACCTTCGAAGGCTTCGAAGCCTTCAGACCTTCACCCCCCCCCCCCCCCCCCCCCCCCCCCCCCCCACCCCTTCGACCCTTCGGCTTCGAAGGCTCGAAGGCTTCGAAGCCCCCTTCGCCGAAGGGTAACGGGATGCAGCCCCCCCCCGCCCTTCCCCCCGCCCCACCCCCCAAGCTCATCGACTCCCCCCCCCACCCCTCTCCGCCTCTGCCCACCCACAAAATAACTGTTATTTCGTGGCGCCGGACGAACTGCTATTTTGTACCGTTCATTATGGGAACCACAAAATAGCAGTTCCTCAGGTCCCACAGAATAACAGTTATTTTGTCCCGCAGCGATGACCCCGGAACCCCAAACAGACCAAGCCTAAGACCGCCGACCCCCCCTCTATCACTAAAGCCCTGCATACCCCGACCTTTTGACTTCAGATGCTGCGCTGCAGACTTTGGCAGAACCAACGGGTCATCCGAACTTGTAGACTATTATGTCAATAGAACGTATGCTGTTGACGCATTGTTTTATAATTTTGTAGGTCCGATTAGAGTCCGATTGTCACGTCCTGGTGTGCTATCAGTTCTTTTGTCGTAAAGAGGCCCACAAACTAACAGGCATTTTGTCGTAATAGGCCGACTAACAGTTATTTTGTCGCAAAGAGGCCCCAAACTCACAGTTATTTTGTCGTATCTGGTACTGACATTGAGCGAAAGTAGCAATAGCATAGCACTGCACCTCAGACGTTGCCTCAACAACAACTCTTTACAACAAAATAACTGTTGGTTTGTGGGCCTCTTTACGACAAACTAACTATTAGTTTGTGGGCCTCTTCGTGGCGCAGCATTGCTATGGGTGACGGGCAGCTGAGTGATTGGTGCCGGTAGTTTCTTGTTTGCATTGGTCTCACCTTGCTGGCCTTGCGTGAACGCGAACCTGAGGCCTATGGGACCTGGAGCAGCAGGGAGACCCTCAAGACCGGGGAATAGCACAGCAAAAAATCGCGACCCTCTATGGGTTTTCCGGACCAGGAGCAGGCCCAGTTGCAGGGAAGCCTACGTGCAGTCCCTGCGGCATCCTAGCTGCAGACTGCCGAAAAGTCCGCCTCTGGGCAGGTCCCTGCAGCCTTTCGCTGCAAACTGCCTAGCAGTTCTCTTGTTGGCCGGTTCTAGGCTAAGTTTCAGGGCTAGTGGGTTTGCTTTTGTGGCCTGTGTGCTATCAAAAAAATGGGCCGCTGCGCGGGGCAGTAAGAGTAATGACCTACCTGCAGTTCGCTTGAGGACCTGGAGACTAGACACGCTGAGCACAGGCCCGGTAGCAAGGAAGCCTACTTGCAGGCTCTGTGGCATCCAAGCTGCAGCTGCCCAGAAGCTTGCTTGCAATCCCTGCAACCGCAAGCTGCAGGCTGCCAAGAAGGCCCCCTCTTGGCCAGTCCCTGCAAATTGCATAAACGTTCTCCAAAATCTGGTTTCTGGGATAGTGGGTTCTGCTTGGCCCCTTTTCAGCTCCGCGGAACACGTTTCGCTGCGCAACTGCCTGGCGCGCTTGTGAGGCTGCAGGCCCAACAGCGCCAGCCTTCGTCCTTAATGGTCTGTGTGTGATAGTAAAAACCGGCCACTGCGCGGGGCAGTTAAGTTACATAGATCTTAAACTGCGTCACTTGCGTAACACGGACCCTGCAGGTCGAGCAACGCAGCGAGGTTTCTGCCCTCATAGCACGCATCCGCGTGCTGCGAGGGCTATCCTGCTACTGTGTGGCAAAACAAGTCTTTTGTCTCAACCCTCTGTGCATTCACACAGTTGTCAACCGAACTGCCAGAGGGTGTACTGAGTGCTATGCTACTGCTACGGCCCAGGCGCTTGTGTGGGGACTGTCCCTACGGACTACGGACGCGTTGGGCAGTTTAGGTGACGGAGGTTCCTTGCCTTACGGCCTACCCATACTTTCGTTTAATGTCTGTGCCAGACGTGGCGCAGCATTGCTATGGGTGACGGGCAGCTGAGTGATTGGTGCCGGTAGTTTCTTGTTTGCATTGGTCTCACCTTGCTGGCCTTGCGTTAAGTTGTCTTGCTTCAAGAGCACATGACCTGGGTTTGGGAAGGCCTTGTGGCCCGTCGACCCTTCGGCTCGAAAACTGGAAGGCCAAGCTGATCAGGCAGCGGGTACCACAGAACCTGTTTCTCAGCATTTCAAAAGGTTGTGGCAGCTTCCAATCAGTAAGTACCTTCTTGGTCATGCGCACTGGATCACTGGATCTTTGAAGTTTGATCTGCTGTGTGAGTTGTGTGGTGAAGTGTTTTTCTTCCGCCTGATGGTTTCAGCTTGTCGACCTCTGCAAGTGAGAACTGCGTTGCTCTGGACGGGCTGACAGTTAGGACTTATGGCCATCTGCGCAAGTACATCCAGGAGGGCCCCAATCTTCAGTAAAGCAGTGTCCAACTCGTGCTCCAAGCATTATATCGCTGAGCAGTGATAATCATCCGCAAAAATGAAAATAGATTTTTGTGTTTCTTCAATTCCTCTCTTTTGCGCAAGTGTGCTATTCCAGGAGGGGCGCGACCGCGCATCCCTGCCTACTCCCTGAGTAGCGTGGACACTGCGCGGCTCGCTATCGTGGTTGATGACACACCTGGTTTGGCTATGCTGTTGCATTTGTTGCATGTCCTGTTTAAGCTTGTCTCGCAACGTGCTGGCCAGGTCCAGCGTGGCCTGAACTCCATCGATTAGCTTAGGTTTAGCGCCCTCATACCTATCGTGGAGTGTGCTTTTTTTGGAGCAAACATTCACCGCGTACTAGACGAAAACCTGTGCAGGTCATCCTTGCGTGAGCGAGCGTGATGGGGTGTGCCCGTATTGCGGGAAAAGTTTGGTGATGCTATAGATTCTATAGATGTAGTCAATGTAGTCCTGATAGGGGTGAGTTTACCAAATTGGTCGTGGAGTCCAATCGGTCTATGATAGGTGTTTTAAGAAAGACAGTTGTGCATTTGACCATTTTTGAGGTACCTCATTTTTGCCTGCGGCCCATTCTGTGTTGGGAGCTTTCTTGTCGCGTCGGCCCAGCATGCGAGCATTGAGTTTGCCAATGGGGGGGGGGGGGTTGCGCTCCCACCCAACCCCCGTTTTTGTTGGCCGTGCAAGCTTACGAGCGAACTTTATAAGAATTCCGATGGAAAGTAGCACGAATCCTATGAAAAATACAAGGGGAATGGACGTTTTCCTTAAAACATAGGGAACGGAGGTTTCTTCGGAATAACCAAGAACAACAAGGGAGGCCACAAAAACAAAGGACCCAAAAAGCGCTCCACCCCTTTATAAGTGATCCCCCTGACCACGAAAAACTGTCATTTGAAAAAACTGGCGAGGCAGAGCTCATGCGCTGATTTTCGGCATCGCACAGTGCAGCGCAACAACTCTTTCAGGGAGCTATAGGCCCCGTGGACCATGTTGTTGGTGGTGGGTTTAAAAAAGAGATTGGTTCCAAACACAGGTACGTGCACACGGACGCCAGGCAACTGAACATGGAATGTGCCCCAACCTAGCCATTCCACCAAATGTCATGGGCAACTGTCAACAGAATTTTCAAAAACCTACAGCTGCAGTACAACCTCCCTTCGTGGGACTTGTGGATCCCATTGTGGATCTTCTATGGGCTTTCCCCAAGATTTTACAACAACATGAGGTTGCGGATTTGCCGCAGTAGAGCTTTGTACCCAGCCACGGCAGCCCACGGCGTTTTGCAGCCGATCGGCGGGGCCGATGCGCGGACCGTCGAAGCGTGTCAGGTCTGAAACATCGGTCTGTGCAGCCTGCACTCACAGGTCGTGGTTGTGTTTGGTACAACGCTAGCGGTTAGCTGAATAGGCTTTGCTTAGGATGTGAACAGTGAAAAGTTTAGTTGGCGTAACAAACGGGAAACAAGCTAGGAAGACTTAGATATTTGCAATGAATACGCACCTATTCTCCAAGGGTTATTTGGTTCGGCACTCGGAGAGCTCGATTTCTTGAAGCATGTGCAGGTTCAGAATCCCCGAACTGAATTTCGTAGAATTCTCCAATGCAACTCGTTTTATGCAACTCCGCGACTTCACGAAATAATACTGTATGGTTTGAACTTCATCCGTGTTGTTGCTTCTTCTATACCAATCAAACAGAGTTGCAAAGAATCAGGAACATTTGCAATGTGCAGCTTCCGTATGTTTCGGCATCAAGGACGAGTTGAAACGTTGCAACATGTGCAAAACGCAATACCATGTGAGGAGGTTGGCAGTCCCAATGCTCAGGCCGCGATGAGACAGAGTACTGAGGATTTGGCGGGGGCCGAGACAGAAACGAAAAGCTGAGAGGCCGAGGCAAATCTTAAACGTGCACGCGGCCATCCATCAATGGCTGTGTGCACTCATGTGCCGTGAAAGTTTAAGGTCGTTTAGGCTAAGCCCCGTACGTTTCACATGGCCTTTGGTGGTGTGAGCGTGCGCTACCTATTTTCGTAACAGCTCAGCCAGTTCTTGTCTACAAGTCATTTTTTGATGTCGGTTTGAACTTGCACGTCACCGTTTGGATGACTCATGGCTGTAGTGGAAGTGCAAGTAATGTTCAGAAACCAGAAGATAGCTAATGGCTGACCCCTTTGAACAGCCCCAGTATGAGAACTTTGGCTTGCTGCAGCAACATGGCTCCGGACATTTTCGGGGGCACACCGCCGTTGCGGTCGGTCCACTCTGCTGTTCATCCGGAAAGGCTTCGACAACATGCCTCAGTGCCGCAGTGCCGTAGTGCCGCAGTGTGCTTTGTGTAGCGGTTGTTTATGGTGGACATGTTCCAGGCATTGTCATGGCCAATGTCCTCAAGCTTGTAGCGAAGGCAGCAGATGCAAAACATGATCATTGTGTGAAGTGTGTGTCGTTGACTTGTGCAAGTCGAACAGGGCGACATCAGCGCCCTTGAACATGCTGTCAGTGAAGGTGCAGAGGCCGTGCTTTCAAAAGGGTCAACAGCACGATCTGAAAGCTTCCTTGCACTTGAAGGTGAATTATTCCAACGATTCGACCAGTCCCTTGATAGCTGCTGTGCAGGCAATGCCTGCAAGGAATGCCTGCGAACTGCATAGCATGTGGATTGCTGTCCGTCGAGGCACAGAATGTGGATATGGTGGAGTTTCTGTTGCGCGCGCGAGCAGGCTGATGCCTAAGCTTAGCGATGTGCTGAGAGTGTGCTGTTTTGCCGGATAGTGTACGCCTTGCTGACATGCTTGGTCCAGATGCGAACTGGGCAACACTTGGTGCCCGTCTCGGCACCGTTGCAGGGTTGTTGCTTGTGTTGGACTTTTGGACTTTGCAAACTCATGGCATGGGGTAGTTCTGTGCTGACATCGCGCACAGCTTGGACGTGGCATACGACATGGTGCATAAGGAAAGCACGCTAGCATGTACGCTAGCACGTGCGTTGATGTGTGTCCGTACGTGCCCAGGCGCTGAAGTGGCTCCGTTGCACATGGCCGTCTGCCCGGCAACTTTGTGGTTTGTGCGGTGATGTTTGGGGCATTGGGCCGGATTAGGTGGCCACCAGGTGACCTTTTGGAAGTGCAAACATGTTTGACTTGTTGGGCGAGTTCCGTGACAGGCCTTTGACGGATCGATTGAGATCATGCGCCTGGTCGCATTGTTACGTGGAAATGCATGTGCAGCGGCCGATTCAAACTTGTGCTGTTTCTTGCCCTTCATCTCGCAAGCGCAACGAGCTGTACCGCGTTGAACATCGGGGAAAATCATCCGAGGAAGCTTCTTCTCGGCAGGGCAGCTGATGTGAACGTGCTTCACTCTGCATCATGGTGAGTTTGGAAACAGTTTTGTAAGAAGTTACTTGTGCCCGAGGTCCGGGATCGCCACGGCCAAACTCCACTTTTCTTTGCACCCTCAGCAGAGGCCTGTGCTGAGTCGCTGACTCGGACATGCCAAGATAGTGTGTTGGCAAGCAGGGTTTACTGGCGGTAGGACATGAGACACGGGGTTTTGAGTCGTGATTGGGGCACATCCCCCAGACCCTTGGAATCTGATCGAGAATCCCAGTTTTGAATTTGACGACTGCATGAGTCTGAGGAAGGCATTGAATTCGCGAGACTTCAGTTTCAAAACCACCCGGACGCTGGGTCGACATCAGCAGGGCAGCCACAGAGGCGGATCCCGGGCCTCACATAAAGCATGGCAAGGATTACCTGTCCTTCACTGAGCACGACGCCTCTTTTCTTTCTCGCAACTTTGGGCAGCCGGCCTCAGCCCGGTGTAGGTGTCGTGCCGTCTTGCGCCGTGTTGAGAGTTGATCGGGGCCAGGAGTGAGCTCCCTGCTTCGGAGTAAGCGTAATGATGTAATGCCCGCTTCGATTCCCTCGCTCGCCGGACATGAAAAAATGCGTTCGCCATGTTCTCGTGCATGGGCCGAAAGGTGACGGCGCATCGTCACTTGTAAGCCGCTGCTGTACGTTTGGCAATGATCGCACTGCTTGGCAGCCCGCGCACGATGCTGCACCTGTATGCGACTTTAGGCGCTGAACGTTGCACTCGTGCGCGGAACGCGTTGCGTCATGGCGGGTTCGGTTGCCCGCTTGTGGGATCCGGAGCTTGCATCAGCGTCAGCGGGTCGTTGAACAGTTTCTCATAGTTTGCGGGGATGCGGAGCACCCCAGCCGTCCAGTGAGTGCGCGGGTGTCCCAGCCGCCACTCCGAACTCGACGCCGGGAGGACTCCCTAATGCGGCATGGCTAGCCTTGGATATGGTGGACGTAGCCGAAGATCTCCGACGCCCGGTGACTACGTGGATTTTTTGTTGAAGATTGTTTCTCCTCGCACCACGCATGCGTCTCGCTCGCATGCACCTCCGCAAACTTCACAAGCGCGAGTTGCTGGCCTTCCGACGTGCCGCAGTTGTTAGCCGGATCCGGGCGATTCCAAATCACTCCAGAGTCAGGGAGGTAGCGTTGACAAGCAGAAAAGCTGGCTCCAGCCTGCTACCAGCCAGGATTCTGCCCGACAGGTATTCAAGCGAGCTCCTCGTTGATCAGCTGGCTCTCGTGCAATCTGCGACGGACATGTTTGTTCAAGCTTCGTCCACAGGCTTGGGCCGTGATTGTGCCCGCGCAGCGTGCCCGGCACTGGTCATTTGCACGATGCGGCCATCACTGCTTTAGCGATGGCCGCACAGCTCGGCATCGCAACTCGTCAGCTGATCATACCTCCGTCCGCTTGTCTGCGTCAGCATCCGGATCCTTGGACCATGCGTTGCTCGAGTGCTCAGCGCCCTCGGCTTTGCGTCGGAGATGGGCATGAAGTTCACGGCACAGCTCAATCACCTTGCACAAGTGTTTTTGTTACAGCTCATGCCGATACCAACTCTGTTCGTGACCTCATGAACAACATTCGTTGCCTGATTCTTACCGAAGCGTGCGTGATATGAGAGAAGGGTGGCCAGTGTGCTGGAGTTTTGTAAATTTTTCCATCTGTACACATGCTTCAGGCATTCATGAACAGTCTCTTTGCTTGTTAGCTTTTGGTTTGCGTTGGTTATTGCTTGTTGGTACACGCATGAAGCTGGAATAGTTAAATTTTCACTCTGACGTTGAGTCACGGTCGTTTCCGTACCAGTCTCTCAGTGATGTCTTGGCAGATTGCGCGGCCCCGCCTCCCCTCGCCAGCTGCATGCCGTGATGCGCGCCGCCTATGGAGCCGAGACTGCGGTGGAGCTGGAAGATGGACCGTGAGGAGAAAACGAAAAAGAACACTTGAAACTTTTGCTGCAGGAGTTCGATGCGGTGGACCTGCTCACGGAAGCTGCGGCCAGCCTGGCGCGAGCGCGCAAGTCCTCAGCGACGTCGCTGACGGTCATGCTCGAACGAGGCTGACAGCTTTGTGGAAAGCGGCTGGGGGGGTACGAGGGATCGCTACCGCTGCGCCCGAACACGGTACTGGTGTCACTTGGTGGACGCAGTGCGTACAACAGCATGTCCAGGGCAGCCTTCGTCACCAAGCTGCACGAAGTCACGCCCAAGCTGCTGCCCTTTTGTGCGCCGTTTGTCAAGCAAGGCGAAAACGCACCGAGCGGCGGCTACCCTTCACCCCGACGATAGCTTGGTCGCGTTTTTGGACGACCACCAACCCGCGCCAAGACGTCGTTGGACGCTGCTGTCGAGGCCGTAGGTGGAAACGGGTCCAACTTTGGCAAATAGCGCCTGGAACCCGTCGATGCTCGCTTGCGGTTGCGCGTCGGCATAAGACTATGCCCGATCCGTGAGAGCTATGCCGCAAAGCCTGGCGGGCGTCCGTCAGGTGTGCAGGCGGCCTCTTCGCCCGCCTCGATGGTGCGGGCGGCCTGCAACGCGAGGATGGTCGGTGACCCGGCCAGCGGCTACGCTTGCGAGCCAGACAGGTGTCACGGTCGGTGGGCGTCGCGGCGAGTGCGGCCCGCGGTAGGCTTGGGCGCACGGTGTGGCGGGAGGGCTGGAAAATTGGCTGCGTGGGGCGCTGCCGCCTCGTGCAACACCCTGCTCAGGAGCTCGGTAGGGGATTGGCTCGCTGCGGCCGCGAGTTCGGCGAGTTCCGACTCGCCTCCCGCGGCCATGCATGCGAGCAACTCCGACGCTGCGGTCGCCCAGGCTGGAGTGGGCGCCCCTCTCCAAAGGAGGCGCGCCCACAAAGCCAGCACGGCGGCCGCTCCCAACAGCACACCCAAGCACAACCAGACCCAGCAGTGTGAGCAGGGCCCCCACCGCGGCACTACTTGGGAGCCCCATCGCGCCCCCCACCGCAACACGGCAAGCGCGGAAGTCCAGGCTCCAATGTCCATGGCGGGGGCCCGCGGCCGTGGCAAGGGGGACGGAGAACTGTGGGAAATAACTTGAGCCTTGAGCTCCTTGAGCCAAAATGGTTGCGGTGTATGTTTTCGGATGGGCACAGTTTCGGAAACACCGCAAACAAACATGTGTCCATCGCATTGAGATCGGTTTTCTTCGATACAGTATTGACTCCAACCGTTCTGTGTGGATTACGCGTATTGCCGTTGACTCTGTCACACATTCATGCCCAGGATGCATTGCAACGACGAATGCTTCGCTCTGGGGCTGGCTGGGTGCGAGTTGCAAACCCGTCACCACATGCACGTCAGCTCCCTCGCCCAGTTCCGAGTCCAAGCTACCGGACCCTCGGAACTGTTGTGCCCTTTGTGCCGACACAGCCGATGCCCGGACTGCGCCCCGGGTGGCTAGACCGCCCGACATGATGCAGAGGTTCGAGCGGCGTGCGAGCGCGAAGGCGTCCCTATGCCATCGAGGCTCACGGGCGAAGATACCGTGCGAGGGGCCGTGTGGGATTACGCGCTGCGCACCTTCACGAACAACGACGCGCCTGAGCCGCCGCCTCCGCCGGGAGTAAGTGTTCTTTGTTGCCGTCACGTCGCGGCCGTCGGCGGGGCAAATGGTGTAGACTTCGTGCGGCTGCCGTACCGCGATATGCGATGGGCGCCTGTCCCCCTCCGGCATGCGGCAGGCATAGCGGCGTGGCGACCGAGTTGGGTTTGCCACGGGTGTGCGCAGGAAGTCAGGTTCGCGGACCTCGACGTCCCGGCAGAGGCGGGGCAGCCGTGTGGCCACTGCGGGCGCGCGCTGCAATGGGAGTACGACCGCGCGACTGGACAGGGGCAGCTCAGCTGCACGCCAGGTTGTGCTGGATCGGCCCGCGCTTTCGCCCGGCAAGTGTCGCGTGGCATGCTTCCGGCGCCTCACGAGGCAACCGCTCCCCCCCAGCGAGCAGGGGAGCATACGGGCTCTCTCGGGGACCGCCCGTAGGTCACGTACAGGAGGCCACCAATTCCTGGTTGCACGTGCCGCCGCTGCAGGCTGCCGCTGCCGACCTCGCGTCTCCTGCTGTTGAGGCTTGGCGTGCCGACCCTCGGGCAGTAGACAGGTGGGAACCGGCCCGACGGTTGTTGATGCTGTCGAGTCCGGTTGCGCCCCAGGTGCTCGCGGAAGCGGTCAGGCATGCAACCGCGGCGGCACCGGCTCATGTCCGTCACTTGCCGGACCTCCTTCAGCGCCTCGAACATGCAGGCCTGCCCAACAGCGCCCTCGTCCATGTCGGCTGGGCAGTCCGCCAGTTGGGTGAGCCCGACGGCTACCTGATAGCCACTGTGCAAGAGGCTCTGCTGCAGTGCTACGGCGGCCAGGCGTTCGCGCTAGAGGTGGATCGACATTCCGATCGCTTTCGCCAACGGCCGCGCAGCCCACCGCCCGATCCCGAAGGCGGGCTGACGGGTGCTGCCGATGCGCCCGGCTCAGCGGAGGCACCTTCGCGCCACGGCGCCGAACGCGAGAACGCGAGTGCTGCACCCGCTCCACCTGGCCACCCAACGCTGGAGGAGGACCGTGCGGCTGCAGACAGCGACGGAACGGAGGGAGCTGCGGCCGCCCCGGCGGCACGCCCTGCCGGTACCTCTGCTACCCTCACGCGTGAAGCCGGTAGATGGCTCGATACCCTGGACCTCCTCGCCAACTTTCGCAGCCCCGTTCCCACGCTTCAAACTGTGCCGCGGTTTCTCGTCGCCGGTGTGCGCCAAGCACTCGTCGTTGCGCTTGAGGCGATCCGCGCTGCGCACGAAGGTCTCGACGAGGTGGCGTGAGTTCGGGCTTGGAAGCTCTTCCTCCTGTTGCCGCGCCTGCTCCTCGCGCGCTCCACTCAGTCAGGATCCGAAGGCCGTGCAGCGCTCCTGCACCGGCTTGAGCTGTTCCGCCAAGGCCACTTGGACACGTTGCATGTCTAATGCGTGGCGGTGCGCGAGCAAGCACGCCCCCGTCGTCGCAGCGAGGACACCGAGGAGACACGTGCAGCCACAGCTTGTGCCAATTTCCGGCGAGGCGAACTCCTGCGCGCACGCCAGGTGCTCAACTCGGAGGCCCTCGACCCCGGCAATGCCGAAACGCCTGCGGCGCTGACAGACCCGGCGAGGCGCCCGCCGCACCGGCTGCCCCCGAGGTTCTGCAGTTCAGGCCTGCCGAGGTCCTTTTGTCGACGCACCAGGTTGGGGAGGCCTTGCACACTTCCAAGCGCGGCTCGGCCGCAGGCCTCTCGGGCGCAACCGTGGAGCTTGATAAGCTGGTCCTGGACGATGCGGCGGCGCTCGAAGCCTTTACTTACGCAGTGAACGTCGCCGCCCGCACGCAAGCCCCGCAAGTAGCGCTGGACGCCATGGCCCCTTCGCGGCTGACTGCCCTCCGGAAACCCAACGGAGGTGTCCGCAGCATCGCCACAGGGGACGTGTTTCGGCGCCTCGTCTCCCGCGCACTCGCACGCGCATTCAGTGGGGAGCCTGATGCAGCCACCCGGCCGTTTCAGTTCGCGCTGCAGACTCGTGCTGGTACCGACAGCTTGGCGGCGATGCTTCGTGCGGCTGTTGAACTCGACCCGCAGGCCACGGTCGTCTTTCTGGATGGGCGCAGCGATTACGACACCATCAGCCGCGCGACCAGACTTGCCAAACTGCGCGACACGGCCCCGGCACTCGTGCACTTCGCCCATGCCATGTACGCGCGTACTTGCACGTACTTGTGGTGGGACGACGAGGGGCGTGTGCACGAGATCGCGCAAGCTGAAGGCGTCGAGCAGGGCGACCCCTTGGCGCCAGGGTTTTACGCCCTTGGCCAGCACGACTCGCTGGTGGCGGCGAATGCTTCCCTGCAGCCCACGGAGCGCCTCGCCGCTTTCCTGGACGACCTCTACGTCGTCACTGGGCCGGACCGCGCAGCGCCGCTCCTGCGTGTTGTTACCGAGGCGCGAGGGTCGAGGCCAACCTGGGCAAGACGCGAGTCTACAACGCGGCAGGCGGGGACGCCCCGCCCGGCATCGACGACCTGGGCGGCTTCGTCGCACTGGGCGTGCTTATCGGTCACCCCGACTTCGTCGCCGCCCCGGCCGCTGACCGCCTTGCTGCCCAAGACGACTTGCTCCCGGAAACTAGAGCGCCTCCCCGACCTCCAGAGCACCTGGCTGTTGCTCGCTTTCTGCGCGGCGCCCCGCGCCCAGCATCTGCTCCGCAACATCCCCCCTGCAGACATACTGCCGTACGCTCGCGCTCACGACGATGCGGTCTGGGCCATCGTTCAAGGTCTGCTGCTGGGCGACCAGGGACCCGGCGAAGGGGACGCCTGGGGAGGGGTGCGAGGCATAGCCACGGGCGACGTCTTTCGCCTCCTGGTCGCCAGAACGCTGGCCAAAGAGTGGGCGCAGGTCTTCGACGACGCTACTCGCCCGTACCAGTTCGCGCTTCAGGCCCGCGCAGGGAGGCCAGCGTGCGGGCCGCCTTGTCCTTGCGCCCAGGCTCGGTCCTTGTGTCGCTGGATGGCCGGAGCGCGTACGACTCCATGTCCCGCGTAGCCTTCCTCAGCAAGCTTCGCGAGGTTGCGCCAGAGCTCCTCCCCTTCGTCCGGCTCTTTTACGGCCAGCCCTCCAGCTACTGCTGGTGGGACGCTGCAGGGGCTGATTGCGGCATCGAGGATCTGCACTGACATGTCGTCCCAAGTAGTTGTGAACGTCGCCTCCAGTCAATACTTCGATCATGTTGTCACTAACGTTGATGTACATGGGTCGGTCTATGTGGGCTGTAGTAATGATTCGGCTGTTTGATGCATTCAAATGCAAATCGATCTTTCCCAGTTCTTGTACGAGGCATTCGATCAAATACACAATCTCCTGCCAAGACTTTGGGTCAGGATGTTTATGAGTTTTTCAACTGCTCCAACGTCAAGACCATGCTCTATCAGTCGTTGTTTCCACTACCAACCTCGGTAAGACACAAATCTACAACGCTCAGGGAAACGCAGCGCCATTGGACGTCGCCGCCTTAGGCCCGGGGGGATATGCCGCCCGGACCGCGAGGGTTCATTGCGATCGGCGTGCGGATCGGCCGCCTTGGACGTCGTTGCGTCCCAGGCCGAAGAGCCTGCGCGCCGAGGCCGAGTTGCTGCGGCGATTGCCGCTCCTACCGGACCTCCAGTGCGCGTGGCTGCTCCTTGTGTACTGCGCGGCGCCCCGGGCGCAGCATTTGCTCCGCAACGTCCCGCCCGACTACATCCTCCCTTATGCCCGGGCCCACGATGACGCGATATGGGACGTCGTCACGCGCCTTCTTGGTGGGGAGGCCCGGGTGAGGAGGCTGCGTGGACTGCTGCGCGCCTCGGCGCCTTCCTGCCGCCCAGCTTGGGGGCTGGGCTTGCAGGCTGCAGAGCGGGATGCGCCTTCCAGTTTTGCGCCAACGCTTCCCCGACGTCGCCCAGCAGCTCGTGCGCGTGCTAGGAGGCGATGCAGGCGCCGGCCTCGCTGGGCGGCATGTGCTGATGGGGCCCGGGTCCCGGCTACAGACGGTGAGCACGGACTAGGTGGCCCTGGCTGGCAGCGACGCTTCTCGCACTCCACACATCTTTCCGAGAACGCGAGCTGCTCCCGACCATAGCGCCCGATACGCGAGCCCTCTTTCGCTCTCAGTTTGGGCAACATGCGGGTGATGCACATTGCCCTCAGGCGACGCCTCCGCCTGCCGCTACCATTGACCGCCCTGCATTGCGGCGGCGATGGAGCTCCCGGCTGCCAAGGACAGGCCGACGCATTAGGTGACCAGTTCGTCGACTGCCCGCGTGCTGGCTTGCTGCCGCGTCGCGGCTTTGTCCTTGAGCGCGCGCTTCGCATTGCAGTTCCGTTTTGCGCCCGCAGATGTCGGGAGGGCGGCGAAGTGGTTACTGACTGCTCCCTTGACTTTTGCAAAGTTCCGTGCCGTACGTTCGCCGGATGCGTTCCGCTATGTTCCGCTCCTTAGCCGCTGCCGGCAAGACGACCGATCTTCGTGGAGCCCTTCATGTGCTCAGTCCGGCGTTTGCTGTGGCAAGGGCAGGCCCCTCGAGGGTGCCCCGGTGCACATCTGCCAAAGCCGCAGTTTCCCTGAGCGCCCGGCTTTGGGACCTGTGTGTTTGAACGAGGCTGAAGGATACTGAAGGACACATAGGACACCACGGCTGGTTCAACCTTTAGCTTGCCCATGGCATGCATGAGCGCTGCAGCTTGAATCGGGCCGTGCCTTGGACGAGCCCTAGGGCAGCAGATCACTTGGGCCAAAGAATCTTTAAAAACAATCTGGAGCGGGAGAGGTGGGTGGGAAGGGAGGGGGCCGGCGTAGGAGTAGGGAGAATGGTTTTGTCGATTGACTGTGGCCTTCCAAGGTTGAGCAGGGCCAATGCCAACGTCAATGCTCTGAACAAGAAAGGCGATGCATGGATTGTTTGCGTGTTTCAGCGTAGCGGATATACCCATACAGCACCAGGCCAGTCTGCAATCCACACTGCGGCGCATGCCGGGTTGGACGAAGTTGCGAAATGGCTTACCGACCACGCCTGCCCCTCATTTCCTGTGGCATTTGCATTGCGGTGATGGCTTTTGCCGGCAGGCCAATCCGGGGCTGATCAATGTCCAGGACTCGCTCAAATTATTTGATGTATTTGTGCAAGAGAATAAGCTTACTCAAAAAGATGACCACGTGAATTGCTTGCTTTTGCTTGTTCAGGGTTCATGGCCATTTGTCAGGACAAGCATGGCCGGACGGCATGGTATTGCGCCACCAGGGTAGGGCACTGATGGGCACGTGAACACACTTCGCATGGAATGTGCATGGCTTTGCCCTCCGCATGTCGAAGTCGGTGTGGAAGGGTTGAGAGATAATTGAGGATGCGGTTCGGGGCGAAGATCGGGGATGTCAATAGGAGCTGGCCGTAATGATTCGTGAGGCGGGCGATGCCAAGACGGTGACCGTGTTGAAGGACTGGCAGAGAGGGGCACTTTAGCAAGTTCGAGCACATATCCCTTAGCAGATGTAAGACTGGAGGAGAAAGGTCCCATTACCAAGCTGAAGCCGTCACGCACCCAGTGAGCGCCGCAATAAGACATAGCAAACCAACGCATGAAATGGCTAGGAACTCTGCATGAGCATGCCTTTTTGTCCGCTTCGGACCTTGCAGGCACAAAAAATGGCAAGTGACACCGCCACCTCCGAAGCCGAGGGCTCGGTCATGGAATGTCATGAGTGCGCGGTTTCATTGTCTTTTACGCACTTCGGTGGGTGATGATGATGCTGATGAGATGACAATGACAATCGGAGCTGCTCTGCGATGCGGGTCGGCAAGTTGTCGGCCGCAATAACATCTGTGACCGTTTCACCCACTCACTCATTCGCTCACTCATTCACTCCACTCACTCACTCACTCACTCGCTCATCGTGAACCCATGACAATGACTACGAGAATGAGGATAAAGATTGAGGTGATGATGAGGCCTCGACGGTGACAATAGCGATGGCAGTGACGACACAACACGGAAAATTTCTCGAGGACCCAGCAGAGTTCATGTCAAGAACATCAGTCTTTGACCTGCGAGGCCAAAACCGCTCGTGGACCCCAACCCTGTCATTGTCAGCAGGCCAGCGAGTTGTGGTTGACGCCATGTTCCTTCACAGGTATTGTCCTTGACTTTCCATGCAAGAGCCTGCCCACTTTGTTCGTGCCATCGATTCTTTTGGCAATCTATCGGTTTGCCAACACGCACGCGTTTATCCTGCGCTGAGAGGCCGGAGGCGGAAGAACCAAAGCCTGCAAGGGTTGGGCACTTGTTCCAGCAAGTTTTCAGCACACTGCCGCGAGGAAATGTGCATTTGTTTTTTCAAGCCTGTGCGTGCTCAGGTCACGAAACAACTGTCCGTTCATGTCGACAAGGTGCCATAGCCGTTTTATTGTTTCGCCTGCAATTCAGCTAGTAAGTAGCGCATTCTGTCTTGTTGGGGGCCAACTTGCGGCTCCATGCAACGTCGTGCAGGAGTTTTCTTCGATTGACAGTTTCGAAGTGGCCGCAGCCTTGGACTTTGTGGCTATCCTGTGTCTACACCCGTGAAGCAGCTGCAAACTACAAAAACCTTTGCCTTCGGGACAAGCACTACTACAATGTCACATCTCGGTCAGTATTGGGCTCAGTGTGGCGATGACATGTGCAGGTTTCGCCGAAGAGATCTGCAAATGAGCTGCGCCACCTATCTGACGAGGGTCGAGATGGCCAGGCCTGGCAAATCGATCCAAGCACTCACAGTGGGAACCACGCATGGGAGATTGTATGAGCTCATGGCTACCTAGCATCAGAGATTGTGAGGCGGATGCGGATGTGCTGGCCATGTCCCTAGTGCGACTTTTCCTTTGGGAATAGCATCAGACATGACGGACAAAGAGCATAAATATCGGCTCGCAATCCGTTTCGTGAGAACACGATGTTGCTGTATTTTCCCATTTGGCATTCACCCAGGCTGTTCTCCAAGACAATTTGGAGGAGGACATCTTTTGCTATGAAGACATGCTCGGCAGAAGGGCCGGTCTTTGTGCCGGGTCGGGGGATACTTACCTGGGCTGCCTCTGGTGTGCTTTCTTGTCGCTGGCGAAACAATGTTAAGTAGCTTTCACTTATCGGCGTGCTACTGGTGAACAGGAGTTGAACAGGTTTCCATTATGTTTGGGTTCTAGAGCCTGGCATCCTACGTTGCGGTTGCTAATTCACATTGAACTTATTTGTAGAAGCCTCCGTATAGGCAGGAAACACACAACCTCTGCTGAAGGGCTCGGGGTTGGGCATACAGGTCTTCAACAGCAGCTCTGGTGCTCAAGCAAAGCATCGCAGCAGTTTTGATAAATCATTGCTAGCTTGTGATTGCTCCGGACACAAGTAAAGTTGGGGCGTATTTGCTTGACACCGCCCTGGTTTCTTGATTAGATCTGTTTATGGCCCAGGTTTTGTCGATGGTATATGCAATGGGCGTATCCCGAATCTTCAACAACGAAACAACATGAAACAACCATTTAGTGCTTACGGGATTTGTCGCCACTGTTCAAGGAGCCCGGTACACAGCAGCTCCTGAAAGATGCAGAGGCTGGAGTGGAGTATCTCTGAAGAGTCCTCAACGCCAGGATGCATTCTAAGCAGGCAGGTTCTACATCCTTCCTGCGTCCCTGCTAACCAGGGCTTCCTATTCTGGAAGGAGCCCTGTTTGAGAGCCTGATCAAGCCTAATGGCCTGATGGGAATTCAGCTTTCCATCATGCCAGCCCTAGTTCAAGCAAAGGGTTCTTAAGCACGTGTGCAGACCTAAGCGAGCAGACCTACGAGGCTGCCGCACGTTGGGTTAAAGAAAGTCGGCAGTTCATTTTCATGATTGTTGACGTGCTCTTTACGTGTTTTGGGGCGCGTGTTTTCCTTTGACGAGCTTAGCCTTTTGAGTCTGGTGACGCTAGTGGAGGCTCTCTTCGAGGTGGAGGCTTCTTGGCCGCAATGCACCGAGGTGTGAGAAAGGAGCGTTGTGTGGGGCGGTGGTTGGACTCCTTTGGCCAATCCTGTCCGGCCAGAACAGACTCAGTGGAGACGTCAAAAGTTACCGGTTTTTCAGGAGACGTTGTCAACATTTGGCTATTTCCACTCCTTTCTTTGCAAGGGCCAGCCAGAGAATGATCTGCATGTCGGCAGTGCCTGCCTCAGGATGTGTTCCCTTCTGTGGATGTGTTTCTGCAGTGCGATTTTGAGCTTGAGATTCGTCTTCCAGCATTACCTTTCCTGCTGGAGATTGGCTTCGAAGATCAAGCAGTATGCAGTGGCATCAAGGGTGGAGCCCGGAATGACGCACGGCAATGGTTGAGCTAGATTGTCCAGGCCTCTTCAATTCTAAAGACATGTGCCGAGCATGGTTTTCGGCCATGGCAGAAGCGGCGAGAAATCCTCCGCGGGAGCCTCAAGATTCAGCCAACAGGGTTCTGTCGCTAATCCTGAGCCAGGATCTGCCATTTCCGTAACAAAAAGTGCGTGCGCTTGGTAGCTTCTTGGATGTGGGACAACCCTGGCTGAAAGCTGATTGTGGAAATGACACTTGCAATTGAAGCAACACAAATTGTTTTTTGGTTGCAAGCTATTGCGAGCCTGCACAAAGTTCTCGCAAAAGCAGCGCAGCCACAGTCCAAAGCAAATCGCATCCCACAAACGAGCCATTACTCGCACTAGTTACACTGCTTTCCTTCGCCATCCTGAGCAATGGCGGAGCTTGATGAGAGCGAGTCATGTTATGAGATCCTCGGCGTCGAGCCTGGCGCGTCTTCTTCTGAGATCCGGCAGGCGCTCCTCGGAATCTTGGCAGGAAGGGGTCGATAAGACGCTGAGTGATCAGTGGAGGCATACCGGAAGTTGGCATTGGCGAAACATCCAGATCGAGGGGGTGACCCTGAAGAATTCACTCGGCTCAGCAAGGCATACGAGGTGGGGAGAGGGAGCCTGAATTGCAGAGGTTGCAATCGCCTTGTGATGCCAGACGCGGCCCTGCCTGAAGCCTGAAGGTCCTTTCGAATGCCAAGTCGCGTGCAAACTATGACCAGACAGGGCGAACTTCCAAGTTGACGGCCGAGGAGGAGTTTGTTCAGGACTCCTGTCCTCGCATGTTCGTGCTGTTTTTTTGTTTTTGTTTTTTCCAAACTCTGGCAGCTTCAACCTGTCATGGTCATGCGCTATGATGGGCTTAGCATTCATGCCCTCGTATGACGTCCTTTTGTTGTGTGGGATGGGCAACTCGGATTCAAGTCGCGGCCTCGTAGAATTCAGGGCAAGGCTCTCCTTGCCTCAACTTCCTCTATGCCAGTCGCTGCAAACGTCTGAGGCCTTCCGTAGCTCGACAGAGGAAGCTCCTCCACGGCGTGAGCCAGCCCGGAGGCAAGTTTTTTGAGTTCTTTTCTCTCTTGAGGGCTTGAGGGTCGACAGACACGAGCAGGCCCCGGCCGGAGAATCAACACCGAAGCGGTGGAGTACACAGCTTCTCAGCCAATGTCGGGTCGCGGTCTGCTCCGGAGACGCCGGGTGCTCAAAGTTGGGCTTCAGTCGGCTTCAGGTCTAGAGCTCATGCAATTTTTTTTATGTTTTGTCTGGTGGGTTGGTTGGGGTGGTGGCGAGATGTGGCGAGGAGGTGCTGGTGGTGGTTTCGGTTGTGAGTCTGGAGTTGGTGGTTGTCGTGGTTGTTGGGGTTGTCGTTGCTGTTCTGATTGTCGTCGTGGTGGTGGTTGTGGTAGTTACTGGTAGTCCTACATTTGCGTACTCCGTCAAGTGCCGGTGCTCACGTTGCGCAGTCCGCTGCGGTGAGATCGAAGACCCCCCGGGCTTGGGCCGGTGCTCGTGGCCGCGAAAAAAACTCTGAGGGCTTGGGATGTTCCCCCTTCCCCCTATTATAATCCTTATGAAGGACTGTTCGTAGACTGGGGAATTGTGGCTGTGGTCGTGGTCGTGGTGCTGTCGCTGTTGTTGTCCTGGTGGTTGTCGTTGTGGTTGTTGGAAGCGGTGGTGGCAGCGGTGGTTCTGATCCGGGGCGACCAGGGCTGGTCGGCCCGGGTTGTGCGAGTCGGTGGCTCAGGAGTGCCACGACGTAGCACCAACAGGTCTAAGGCCTAGGGCTTGGGGCCGTCCAGGAATCCAGGGCTTACGAGCACTAAAATCTTCGACTCGTGACAGCAAGTAGCTTGCCAGGAAAGAATCCGGCTTTATCCGCCCAGATGTCTTGGCGTCTGCCGCGAACGAGGCAAGCTTCAGCCCGGGTACACGTGTGCGTGTTGTCGGACTGGAGAAGCAGCAGACATTGAACTCGGCTACGGGAACCCTGGTGAAGCAGCACAATGATCGATGGCAGGTTCGCTTAGATGGTGATTTGGGTGACAAGCTCCTCAAGGCCAAAAACTTGATACCGGAAGAACGCCGAGAGAATGTGACTGTGGAGAATCCCAACATGCGCCGAGCCTCAGAGGAGGTACGACGCGGCTCCTTCACTCGGCCCAGCCGGCCAAACCCGGAGTATATGCGTGCGGATTCCATGGCCATCGACATTGCAGGGAGTTGGAATAGCTGGAGGCCACAAAGAATGACTATGGAGCCGCAGCGTCGCTGCCACAAGTTTCAGATTCAATTGCCTTCAAGTTCCAGCGAAAGCTTCCAGCTCTTCGTGCCAGGTGATGGGCTTGGGCGTTGTATACATCCTGACCGGCAAGATGCCAATCCTCATGAGTTCCATCGCCTGACTGGTCCAGACGACAATGGCAAAGGCTACTGTTGGACCATCGGAAAGCATCCTAGCGACAAGGCTGTTGCAGGAGGCCGCTATGAAGTTATGCTCATCTATGCTGCGAATGGAAAGCCCGATCGTGTAGACTGGGTGCATTTAAACCCGCGGTCTGCAACATCTGCAAGTCTTGGTCAAAAGGCCTCCTTCCCATCCCGTGCTACTGCCAGCAAAGCGTATGGCGGCATGACCATCAATACCTTCCTACACACAGCGAAGCCGGAGTGGTCTGCCAAGGATGTTACATCCGTCTGTGAGAAGCTGTCCAAGATAACGGTTGTGGACCTGCCTAGCTTATTGCGAGCGTTACAGTCCGAGGGTTCTTCTGGCATCAACCATAAATTCAAAGCTGCTGGCGAGAAGGCGTTCACAGACCAGACGTTGCGTGCACTGCGCCAACATGCCAAGAAAGTGTCGGAGGAAGAGGCCTCGCGAGTGGCAAATGCCAACGCGCCCAAGCCCGAACGCGCGGCCCCATCACCGCAAACCTCAGCCAGCCTGCCGCCTTTGCCGACTCAAGAGTACCGTGTGGTACATGAGTTTGCATACGTGCGGCAGGACCCTTCTCTGCACTCGCCGCTCTGCGGCAAGAAGGACCAAGGAGAGACGGTGTATGCCTGTGAAGAAACCTTTGATGGCTGGATAAAGCTACACGGGCAGCCAGGGTACATAATCAAAGACATGGGCGGAAAGCAGGGCATTGGAAAGATTCTCAGCGTTGTCGGCAAGCAGCCGGCACTGGTACTTCCAGAAGTGCAAGCAACAGCCGCGACACTGGTGTTCGAAGTTGTCTACAAGCCGTTGGTAGCAGTGCGCATTGCCCCATCCAAGAGTCGGCCAATTCAGGCCTCGAATTGCCAAATGACATCTTTTACATTGGTGCAGGGGGAGAGGTGGCAAAGGGTACTCAGTAGGCGCCTGTGTTCAGTGTGTTCGCGATATTTCACGATGCTTTCGTTGGCACATGGTGGTCAGGGGACTCGCAAGTTCGGTGAGCGCGTGCGTGCCGATGCTCAAGGCCGGGCCTTGAGAAGTGTGAGAGCCCCGTCGAGGTATGCGGTACACGTTGATGCTCCCATATCCCGCACTTGTTGGGTTGCAACCTGCATGATACGCCTGCAGTTTGCAGAACAACAGCGTGGCAATGAAACACCCTGTGTAGGCTATGGCGGGTGGATCAAGGTTTGTGCCGAGGATGGAGGTGGCTGGATGCTGTAACTTGGACTTGGACCAGATGGAAACGGCTACTTTTGCTGTTGGTTGGTGTGCGTATGTTTGTGTGTGTGTGTGTATGTGTTGCATGTGACATGTGGTATTTCTGAGTCTACATTGGGACGTCGGGCATCCTATGTCCAGGACTGCCGACCCGGACCTTGGCCAGCTGCTGAGCTGCAGAATGGTGGAAGAGCGGCAGCAGAAGGTCACTGCGGGAGGGGGGAAGACCATTTTCGCATGCACCGGCATTGAGATAGGCTCTTGGTTTTGTGCGCTCCCACACGCAGCTCGCCTGTTTTTGCTAGGTGCGTTAAGATGCATGACCGCACGATGTTGCACTCATGCTTGTGCACAGTGGATTGCACTCCCACGCGTGCGCGCTGCGCACACATGCCCGTAAGCATACATGCATCATCGCTTGCCGATATCTAGTGGAGCCGATGCTGTTGGTACTTGTGGAGCACATGCGCCCAATGTGAGGCCAGCAGTCAAAACACGTACTGTATCAGGGTGTCCCGCGAGGGCTTCCGCAGTCTTCATACATGATCCTCGTAGTTTTTATGGGCACCTCAACAGGCAACGCGTGTGCTGCCAGGTCGAAGCGCTGCACCGTGCGGCCACAACGGGCGACGCGGGTGCGCTGGGTGACGCGCTGGGCGCGGCGAGGAGGCGACCCGAAATGATTGTTGCAAGACATTGTACGAATGCCGATGCCCATGAGGTCAGGTGAGGTACCACGAGGCTGATTTTACTCGCAGGGCCGGCCTCGGCGGTGAGGCCGTCACAAGCGCAGAGCGGGAGCTGCGACAGCTTCGCGAGCGTGAGGCGCCAAAGGGGAGGAGATTTTCCTGGCTGTGCGTGGGCAGATGCGGCTGCAAGAGCCCACATGCTTGGCATTGCTTGGCAGGCCGCGCGAAAAGACTTGCTTCAGCGGGCGTCGGCCGCCAAAACCGCTGCTCGAAATGCACTTCAGTAGTGGGGGCTTTCAGCCGGTCGCTGCGTCGCAGCGCTTCATCGCTGCAAAAGCAAAAGCCTTTTTGCTGGGAGCTCCAGGGCCTCGAGCTCCACGGGCTCAGGATGGAAAAGACGCAAAGTTGCGAAACTGTATCGAAGAAGCCGATGAAAGAGGTTTTGTTCAGGACGCCGTTCTCAGAGTTGCTGTTGATG